TTGAGACCCTCAGCTGCAATGTTGAACAAAAAGGGGGAGAGAGGATCACCTTGCCTTAACCCCTTTTGTGGACTGAACTCTTCTGTTGGTGACCCATTAACAAGAATTGAAATTCTGGTCGTGGTGACACAAGTTTTCATCCACTCCAGCCATCTCTCCCCAAACCCGAGATTGGCCATCATAGAAAAAAGGTAGCCCCAGTTGACCGAATCATAGGCTTTTTGAAAGTCAAGTTTAAAAATGACACCCTTCTCTTTAGACTTCTTCCACCAATCCACCACCTCATTGGCAATCATTACCCCATCAAAGATATTCCTCCCCCCCAAAAAGGCAGTCTGCACTACTCCAATTACATCTGGAAGCACCCTTTTCAATCTTTTTGAGAGAACCTTAGCCAAGATTTTATACACTACACCCACCAAACTAATTGGTCTAAAATCTGATAAACCCGAGGGACTAGAAATCTTAGGAACTAAGGTGATAAAAGAGCTATTTAGCCCCGAAACCAGCTTACAGTGCTGGTGGAACTCCTGCATAAACTGGAATAAATCACTTTTCATAACCTTCCAGCATTTCTGGATGCACATCATGTTGAAACCATCCGGACCTGGCGCTTTATTCCCATTACAGTCTTTTACAGCCTCCCACACTTCTTCCAAAGTGAACTCAGGATCAAGAAACTCCCCCACCTTCGCACTATTGATCCGCCCAAAACTACCAGACAATTTAGGGCGAGATGGCCAATCTTCCGAAAATGCCTTTGAAAAGAACCTCAGCACTTCCAGTTTTACCATAGCTGGGTCTTCAACACGAACCCCCTCCACAACCACTGAGTCCACTAAGTTCCTATTCTGCCTTTGGCTAGCCATAATATGAAAAAACCTGGTGTTCCGATCACCATTCTGGGCCCAATTTACTCTAGACTTTTGGTACCATATCCAATCCAACTTCTTTCTAAATGACCACACCAAGTTTTTGACCTCCCTTCTTCTAGCAACTTCATGGGAACCTAATGTCCCCATTTCTGCCAACAGATCAAGCTCATGCAGCTCAGCTTCAGCTTTTTTTAGTTGGTCCTCCACACAACCAAACACATCAGAATTCCACCGTTTCAACTCGGCTTTGAGACTACACAATTTCACCTTTGCTCTGTATCCAGCCCACCCTTGAACCTGCGAATCCAACCAGGACTTTTGCACAACAGACAAGAAGCTAGGGTGCAGGGTCCATGCATTCAGAAACCTAAACGGCTTAGGGCCCCAGTTTTTCTCTTCTTCCGTAAGCAATAGAGGACAGTGGTCGGACACCAATCTAGGAAGGCCCCATAACTTCAAACTAAAGTTTTCTACCCATAGTGGGTCCAACAAAAACCTATCAATTCTACTCCACCTATCCCCGTCCACAGAATTACACCATGTAAACTTCCTACCCAACATTGGTAAATCCATCAACTCCAGTAGATCAACAAAATTATTAAAATCCTGCATCCCTTTGGAACTTCTAGTGCATCCTCTTCTTTCATCTGGAACTCTTATCTCATTATAATCACCTTCCACGCACCAAGGCTTTTGGAAAGAGGATCTTAAATTGAGGATAGCATCCCACAGCTTAGCTCTTTGAACCACTTCATTTGGTGCATAAATATTTAAGAAAACACACTCAAATGAATTAAACAGAGTACCTGAAAGGAGCAAAAAATTTCTGTTACTGCAACACTCTGATAAGGAGAATACTTCAGGGTTCCAAATACTCAAGAGCCCTCCAGCACTCCCATCCGAATCTGCAGCCATAAACTCCAGCTTCTCCCAAGGCCAAATAGATCGCACAAATGGGACATCAATATCTCTTCTCTTTGTTTCTTGAAGGAGTAGGACATCTACTCTTTTTTCTTTAATTAGCTGCTTCACTCTACGGCGTTTTTCCAGCCTCCCCAATCCTCTAACATTCCAAGACATGATCTTCATTGGAATCTAGCTTTTACCCCGCTAAACACCCCCAGTTCGCAGCCCATTAGGTCTGACCCACCTGACCCCCTTTTGCGATTTTGTCAAACCGTTCTGCATCTTGTAGCTCTAGCTCAACGATCTTTTGTACCACTTCATTCTCCCTCCCTTCACAATTCATTCCCAGACGTTTGCCAAGCTGCAAAGTGGCGTGAGCTTCCTCGATAGCCCGCTTCCTTCTCCTACTCGATCGGCTGGTCTGGGACTGAGAGTGTGAGAGGACTGCAACCGCTGCCCTGAGTAACGCACCCCGCTGAAAACTACCTGAAAGTGCAGCAACATTTCTAGGAACTCTTCTCCTTCCCCTTCCTCTCGAACCTCCTTCCTTGCCTTCCTGGAGACGATGGATGTTAACTGGAGCCACTGGTTCTCTACCCACGGTAGTAGTAGTGAACCTGACAGGCTCGTGGGCTTGAGATAGACACAGAGTCTGCTCTCGGGATTGGGCCGATCCAATTTGGGTAAGGGGAGCCTCTTTGATAATATGCGGACAGCTAGGCCCATCAACAGGACCTCCTACTTGGGCCCCTTCTAATACTACCTCAATATTAATACTGGGTCTACCCCCCTCCGACCCAGTCAGACTTTTAACAAACCCTGGAGTGAGTAACGGAGGCCCACCCGCAGCCACCCTGCTGTCAACACTTACAATACTTGGTAGCTTTTTTCGCATGCTAACCTCCTCTGCAGAACAGCTGTTATCCTTCCTCACGTTCACCACCACCTTTTCCACTAGGCCTTCGTGCATGCCATCATCCTTCACGAAGCCACTGTCGGCAAGAGTATCATTTACCACCGAGATGGTGTTCCCCTGGTCTGACGCCACCAAGACCAAGTTCCTATGCTGCTTTTGGTCAGAGTGGTTCTCCTCCTCGATTCTGACATCTTGTTGAGGATTCACTCCGGCAACTGAACTCTCCGCCCGGGAAGGTAAGGGGATGCTCAGCCCCCATTTCTGGCGCATCTCATAGTCGAAATCTACACTCTAACTTCCTTCCCCCACCGAGACCTTGTAAATTCTCCTGTTACACTCAACCTCTACCGATGAGTTAATTGCTTCCAAGGCCCTAGTATGAACCAATACCTTGCCACAGTTCAGTGTTTTTGATCCCGCAAGGTTGTCTTCCACTCTGAGGATGTCCCCCCATAAAGATCCAATACTGTGAAGTGTGCTAGTGTTCCATGCATGGAAAGGAATACCGTAACAGTGTAACCAAACTAGCCTAGAAGTCACCATCGGCAAATCTTCATCCCATAATCTTATACCATCGCAGAGATCTTGAATGAGGTCTGCCACCAAACTAAACTTCTGGTGTAAAAGCTCTACGGTTGGAAAATTTAATAGAATTAAATTCCCACCCCCAAAACGAAAATGGATTTCATGTAGACTGGAGTTCCAGAGCAAGCTCTGCATCTCCCCCAGCATCGACAAACTCTTAATACGCACCACCATACAGCTCTGTAACCAGTCACTGCCTTCGTCAGTTACTGCCACTTTTAGCAGCTTATCCGCCTCGCCCACCCCTTCCTTCACTATGTCTGCGTACGATTTTGTTCCTCTACATGGACTCACCCCAAAGCCTTTCCGAACCGGCACATTGGATGCATTTGGTTCACCGCCCTCCCCTGCTACACCTTCCATTCGTAGACGTCTCTGATGATCCTTCTCATTATCATAATCTGCAAACTTTACCTTCAGTTGTTTCTTGCCACACCAGACCCCATTTGCCTTCTGGATCGCCATCTTTGCTGCCACTACACACTCGTACCGAACAAACCCAAATCTTGTTCCCACTTTGCTGCGCTTAAATGATATGTAGACATGCTTCACCACTCCAAACTTAGAGAACATAATAAACATGCCTTTAGGATCCATATCATATGGAAGGTTGTCAACAAAAATGGAAAACAGCTTCGAACCTGGCCCCCTTCGTCTAGACCCAACAGCTCTCCCTCTATAAAACACCGGTTGCCAACCCCCTTCAAATCTCTTGCCATCAACTCTTCTATCTTGCCCCTCCATCTTCGTTTCAGCAACCAAAAAGAAAAAAAAAGAAAGTATGATTTTCTTTAGGAGAGACCAATTATGTGGTCCCTAATCCCATGTTTCCAGTAATACACATTGTATATGCATACAAGCAGTCTTTAATTGTTAGTGTCTGAATATTACACTGCTATGATAAACTGTTTATTCACCTACATGAAGTCTCTTGATTAGAAATTCCAATTTCTTTAAGTGAATAAACACCATTTCCATGCTATATGATTTTAGTATATATAGTTGTATAATTTTATGTTTAATTTCTAGTTTTTTTTATCATGATTTGCATGCTTCTTTGTTTTATAGTTTTATAATATAATTTACATGCTCACGGGGTTAAAATTTTTTGACATGCTAATTATTTTCTACTTTTCTAGGATAATATACATGTTTATTATTTTCTAGATCCTAGTTTAATTCACATATTTATTAGATGCTAGATTTGTAGGATAATTTGCATGTTCTACATTTTCTAGATTTTAGTTTATGTTACATGATTTAATTTCTAGAATTGCTTACATGGTAATTGCTTTAGAATTATTTGCAGTTTAATTGTTAGAATTATTTACATGTTTATTGTGTGTAGTAATTGCCTACAACTCTTGCCAATTAATTTTGCTTTATGTTTTGGAGTTATAAGTCTTTTGTAACTTGTCTAATATTTTATTTCTTTACTTAAATGTGCCCTTCAATATATCGCTAGAAGGTTTAAAAATAAGTTATTATTTTATAGTTTCTTTCAATTATTTGTTTTGTATTTTGCTATATTTTTCTGTTAACTTGCTTTACTGGAATACCTATGCGAAAGGGACTGGGAAAAAAAATACAGAAGCAAATGAATAGAATTTGGAACTACAATACTAAAAGTTTTGGACTACTAATCTTTTTATTGAATAGAAATACCTAAGCGTGAAAAGGAATTTTGGACCAAATAGAATCCTAATTGGATTGGTTTATCTTTCTTATATTTGAAGCAATTTTTTTCTTGAGTTTAGTAGTGATTAATTACCTATTATTTTGAAGCAAGTTTGTTAGGTTTTATTTATTGGCAATCCCGTTTGACAAAACTCCTTTGAGTTGTATTTCTTTTCGCACTTTTATTTCAGTGAGGCTATGAGTGTTTAGATGCGAATCCAACCCGAATTGTGCCATTCAGAGAAGTTTGTGATGCTAATACTTTCAAGATTGCCACTTCGCTGATTATGACGGGGATCGAGCTGCCCGGTCAGCTATGTTATATTTTTCCAGTTTTTCCAGTTTTGGCCTGTCCGCTCGAACGGGGATTGGAAGCTCTCAGCATCTCTGCAGTCGCCTGCAAAAGTACTGGATAGTGTGATTTGCCGCTCGAGCGGCAAAACCGACGCTCGAGCGTGGAGCCTGTATGAAATCACAGAATTTGAAGTCTCCGCTCGAGCGGGGAAAAGGGCGCTCGAGCGGACCGCGCGATCCCAGATTTCCAGATTTGATTAAAGAGTTGGTTTTCTTCTGAAATTAGGATTGCTTTGGTTTTCTATAAATATTTTTTCCAGATCTTATTCAAGAGTCCTAGGGTTTTGTTTAGGGTTTTATTCTGGGTTGTTTTGTGAGTTTTCCTTGATACTTTGAGAAGAGTTCTTCATTCATGATCTAAAATACATACATCAAGGAGTTGGTGACTTTGATTTCAAGAAAGAGAGTTCTTCGGTGGATTCCGAAGATTAAAGCGTAGAATTCAAAAGGCGTTTTGATTCTACGCAGTCGTTAATTCGACAAGGGAAGTTGTGGTGTGGAATCAACTTCAGGATCAGTTCCGAGACGAAGTCGTGGAAAAAGAGTTACAGAAGAGTCGAAGACAGATTAACTGAGTTGGGTAATTTGTATGATTTCTTTGTAATCTTTTTACTTCAGTAGTGGATTGATTTATGGCGTTTCGCCCGTGGTTTTTTTAATCACAGTTGGAGGTGGCCAATTGTGGTTTTTTCCACGTTAAATCGTTGTGTCTCTTTGTCTTGATTGTTTGATTGTTTGATTGGAATTGTTATATTCTGCTTAAAATTGATACATAATCACAAATCAACATCTAGGGGATTTCTAGATTTTTCAAAGTTTAATTACTTGTAATTTTGGAAGCGTTGTATTTGCTCTTAATTTGTTGTAGAAATTTTTTACTTGCTTATAATTTTGGTTAGCAATTTTCAATTGCTTGTAAGTTTTGAATTTTGTTTGTTTTAATCTAGTTTATGTTGGATAATCTTCATTATATTTAAATAGATTAAATTCTGTTTTGTACAAAACAACAACAAGAATATAAAGAAATAAAAAAAGGAGAGAATTTGTTTGATTACAAAAATCAAACTCGAAATAATAAATAAATAAATAAATAACAGATTTTATTTTGTTACAAAAACAAAATTTAAATATGATTTTAATAAATAAAACCAACACTGAAAATAAATTAAATAACTTACTTGACTTAATTTCTTCGAATTATTTTCTGATCAAGTCCAGTGTTTGACACTGTGTCCTTAAGACAGATTCGTCCTCTCCACGGTGTTATCAGAATTTGGACGTCTACCTCCCAGGATGAAATGATCTACCACAAACAATAGCAGCACTACAAATTGTTTGCTTTACGAACACACTAAGTGTTTACACTGTTTCTTTCGGAAATATCTTTCTTTCAAAAATAAAATGCAACAAAATGAAGAATAGAATAAGCAGAGGTGAAACACGAAATTTCTGAATCAAAAACATCAAATGAGGGTGGTCCTATTTATAGATGTGAAGGTGGCTCTTGGTTTTAAATTGAATAGGTATGATACCTGTTGGTTTTGAATTCAAATAGATTTGAATCTGTTAATAATTCAAACAGATAGCAAAAAACGGGAAGGGCCCTGTTTGGGTGTGCACTAATTCCAAACTAGTTTATTTCTGTTTGAAAACGGGAAGGGCCCTGTTTGGATGTACAGAAAATCCAAATCAGTTTAATTTGAATTTTGGATTTTATTTTACCAAAAATAAAATTAAATTCAAATATTTTTGGCCCAAAAAGATTAGTATTGGGCCGAACAAACCCAACCCAACCACACACCACGCACCCGCACCCAAGCCCAGGCCCAGCCCAGCCCGCCCGACCGGACGGACTGCGGCGGCGGCGCGCGTGTGTGGTGATTTTTGGGTCTAGCCCATTTTGCCCATAACCTCTCCCTCTAAAACACTTGGGTACCCCTTGGGGCACACCCCAAGTATCTCACCCAAGCCTTATAAACCCTTTCAAAACTTCCCACCAAATCAATGTGGGACAAGCCAATTTACAACCTTAAGGAATTTTCACCAAAACTCCATTTCCATGGAGCACACTTTGGTTTCAATTTCCCATTCACTCGGTAATGGTTTTAAGCAACCAAATATACCACGTGAATCACAACGCGGCATAGAACGCGTTACTATTTTGACCCGTGTAAATCGATGCACGGGGCCCACCTAAAAAATAGACCAAACTTGAGAAAAAATTTTGGTTTTACCCAGAATTTTTCTATCATTTTCAACAATCCCCCACATGAATGGAATTTAATGACAACGGAAATGCAACAATATGCAGACTTTAACGAAAGAGTATAAGTCGAAAATATCTTGCATCAGGATAGGTAGTTTTCGGCCTTGAACCTTCCCTAGTGATAACCTATCGGACTTACTGGCTAACTAATGGACGCGATGCCTTGAATTGTTCAGCCGTTTGTGTAAGCCAAGACAATAGATTTCACACAAAATATCTTCTAACACATCGTGGTTCTCACTGTTGTGTTCATTTTGGCCTTGAACGCGCCTGGTTTTCATAAGTGTTTCTAGAGAATTTAGCTTTTTCATTCTCATAGAACCGGCCCCAGTTCAACACTCATATAGGTGATTCTTATTGTGAGTATCTCCTTATACTCGTCTTGATTTTATACCTTAATCAAGATATAAGTAATCATTAAAAGTAAAGCTTATCCTTATACCCCTGCATACAACATATGTTGTAGATATCTCTCACCATAGGAATGGGTAGGGAATTTTTAATCCTTTGGTGATTTCTGGTGAGCCATACATAACTTAATTGTCCCTTTGAACTTAGTTCTTGGGATCTTTAGTCATATAAGTAGGGTTACCATTATGACGACTCTTATGTAATAGGCTTTAATTCCATTCCCTTCGATGAACTATACACTAGCTCTTTTGTCAAACCTTTTGTTAACGGATCTGCAATATTCTCTTTAGATTTTATATAATCTATTGAGATTATTTCGTTTGACAACAATTGCCTTACGGTATTATGTCGACGACGAATATGTCGTGACTTACCATTATACATATGATTCTGTGCCCTGCCTATTGCAGATTGACTATCACAATGAATGCAAATAGCTGGCACAGGTTTTGGCCACATTGGAATGTCTTCTAAAAAGTGAGGAAGCCATTCTACTTCTTCCCCTGCTTTGTCCAAAGCAATGAACTCGGATTCCATTGTGGATCGTGCGATGCAAGTTTGTTTCGTGGATTTCTAAGAAACAGCAGCGCCTCCTAGAGTAAAGACATATCCACTAGCGCACCCACAAGCCGATCACTGTGAGTAATATCTTAAATATGTTGTTGTCCAATTGCTCACTTCTGTGTAAGTTTTGTAAAGTTTATTAATATTGAATAGTGGACAAGTTTGAAAGGCTTAAATGCCAGTTTGAAATGAAAGTTTGAAAGGCTTAAATGCCAA